GTGGTATGTGTACACCATAGAATACTATGCAGCCTTAAAAAAGATGGAGACTTTACCTCTTTTATGTTTACATGGATGGAGCTGGAACATATTCTCCTTAGTAAAGTATTTCAAGAATGGAAGAAAAAATATCCAATGTACTCAGTACTTTTATGAAACCAATTTATATTTACTCACACTTTCCTATGAAAGATCAATCACAACTATAGCCTAGGATGAAGGAGAGAAGTGGAGGGGGATGGGAGGGGAGGGGGGAGATTTGATAGAAGGAGGGCAAGCAGTGGGACCACACCTAGGAGCATATTGCAAGGGTACAAGTCAAATCTATCAAGTATAGAATATAAATGTCTTAACACAATAATCAAGTAAATGAGGCGAAAGCTATATTATTTAGTTTGATGTAAGCACTCCAAATTGTATAAAAAAATCAACATGTTGTACCCCACATATGCATAAATGTATTCATGATCTATGTGTATATGACTTAATAAAAGGAAAACAAAAAGAATAACTATAATCTCAAACAGTCGTTAGTGGTTATAATATTAAAAAGTCAAATAGGGACTTGGCACCTGTAGCTCAGCAGCTAGGGCGCCAGCCACATATACCAGAGCTGGCAGGTTTGAATCCAGCCCCGGCCTGCCCAACAATGACAACTACAAAAAAAAAGAAAAAAAAAAGCCAGGCATTGTGGTGGGTGCCTGTAGTCCCAGCTATTTGGGAGGCTGAGGCAAGAGAATTGCTTAAGCACAAGAGTTTGAGGTTGCTGTGAGCTGTGAGCTGTGACACCACAGCACTTTACCCAGAGTGACAGCTTGAGACTCTGTCTCAAAATAAATAAATAAATAAATAAAAATTAAAAAATTAAAAATCAAATATGAAATTAGTAGCATAAAGTAGGGGTGAGTAAATGTAATATCTGTATGTGATTGATGTTGTTATCAGCTTGTAATAAACTTGTAACTGTAAGATGCTCAATGCAAGTCTTATGATAACTATTAAAAACACAGTAGATAGATAAAAGATAAAAAAAGAATCAAAGCATATCACTGCAATAAGTTATCAAACCAAAAAGATAGCAGGGGAGAAGTAGAGGAACAAGAGAACTAAAAGGCAGAAAATAGTCAACAAAATGGCAACAGTAAGTCCTTAACTATCAATTTATTTTAAATGTAAATGGATCAAAGTCCTCAATCAAAAGATGCAGAGTGCCTAGACAGATTTCAGACCCAACTATAAATGGTCTACAAGAGACTCACGTTAGATTCAAGAAAATACATAGGTCAAAAGGTTTAAATAAAATCAGAAATTAAAGAAGTGACATCAAAATTGATGCCACAGAAATAAAAATGATCACAAGAAACTACTGGACAACTGAAAATAGATGAATTCTTAGAAACATTCAAACTGTTGTGCCAAGATTGAATCAAGAAGATATAAAAATATAAACAGGTCAAACAAATACAGAGATTGAAGTAGTAATCAAAAAACACCCAATGAAGAAAAGCCCAGGACTACATGGCTTCATAGGGAACTTCCACCAAACATTTAAAGAATTAGCACCAATCCTTCTTAACTTCTTCCAAAAAATAGAAGAGGAGGAGTTGGTGTGATGGCTCACACATGTAATCCCAGAACTTTGGGAGACCAAGTTGGAAACAACATGGAGGCCAGGAGTTCAAGTCTAGTCTGGGCAACACAATGAAACTCTGTCCCTACAAAAAATAAAATTAAAAAAAAAAATAGCTGGGTGTAGTGGTGCAAATCTGTAGTCTCAGCGACTTGAGAGGCCCAGGAAGATTTTTGCCCCACTGTTTTACCTTTGCTCCTTTGTCAAAGATCAATTGATTATATTTATGTGGGCCAATTACTAGGCTCTCTATTCTGTACCATTAATCTATTTGACTTTCTTTCACCAAGTTAATTGCTATCTTTCTTATTATAATTTTAGTAATATAATGAGGTTGGTAGTGTCAATCCTCTAATTTTCTTGTTCTTCAGTGCTGTGTTGGCTATTCTGGATCTCTTGCTTCTCTCCATATAAACTTTTGAAATAAGTTTTTGTCAACACTCACAAAATAATTTATTGGATTCTAATTAGATTATATTGAATCTACAAACAGAACTGGGAAGAACTGACCTCTTGACAAAATCGAGTCTTCCTATCCATGATCATGGATTATGTTTCCATTAATTTAGTTATTATCTGACTTCATCAGAATTTTGCAGTTTTCCTCATCTAGATTTTGTACGTATTTAGTTAGATACCTAACTACTTCGTTTTTTTGAGTGCTAATGTAAATGGTACTGTGTTTTTAATTCCAAATTCCACTTGTTCATTGCTAGCATATGGCAAAGCAATTGACTTTTGTTATCTTAAAATTATATCCTGCAAATTTGCTAAAATAGCTTATTAGTTCTAGAAGTTTTTTGTTGTTTTTGGATTATCTATACAGATAATCATGTCACCTACAAATAAAGACAGTTTTATTTCTTCCATCCCAATCTGTATACATTTTATTTCCCTTTTTCCTTATTGCATTTGTTAGGACTTCCAGTACAGTGTTGAAAAGGACTGGTTGGAAGAGACATCCTTGCTGTGTTTCTGATCTCAGTGGAAATCTTCTAGATTTTCCACGATTAAGTATGATGTTAGCTGTAGTTTTATTTTATGTATTTATTTATTTCTTTGTTTGTTTTGGTCAATGTTATCTATCAAATTGAAGAAATTCACTTGTAGGCCCAGTGTGTTAAGTTTTTATATGAATGGGTGTTGGATTTTGTTAAATACCTTTTCTTTATAAGCATCGTGTGACTTTTCTTCTTTAGCTTGTTGATATGATGGATTACATTTATTAATTTTCAGATACTGAACCAGCCTTGCATACCTGGGACAAATCCCACTTGGTTATGGCAGATAGTTCTTTTTACACCTTGTTGGATTCAATTTGCTAATATTTTGAAAAGGATTTTTGCATTAGTGTGGATGAGAGATACTGTTCTGGATTTTTCCTTTCTTGTAGTATCTTTTTCTGCTTTCAGTATTAGGGTCTTGCTGGCCTAGTAAAATGAGCGAGGAAGTGTTCCCTCTGCTTATCTTCTGAAAGAGATTGTACATTATTGGTATAATGTCTTTCTTGAAAATTTTGTAGAATTCACCAGTGGACGCTTCTAGGCCTAAGGGCTTTTTCCCTTTTGGAAAGTTATTAGTTACTGATTCAATATCTGTAACAGATATAGGCCTATTAGGATTACTATCTATTTTATATATATATATATATATATTTTTTTTTTTTTTTTGAGACAGAGCCTCAAGCTGTCCCCCTGGGCAGAGTGCCGTGGCATTACAGCTCACAGCAACCTCCAACTCCTGGGCTCAAGCGAGTCTCCTGCCTCCGCCTCCCAAGTAGCTGGGACCACAGGCGCCCGCCACAACGCCCGGCTATTTTTTGGTTGCAGCCGTCATTGTTGTTTGGCGGGTCCGGGCTGGGGATTCGAACCCGCCACCTTAGGTGTACGTGGCTGGCGCCTTAGCCGGTTGAGCTATAGGCGCTGAGCCTATTTTATATTTTTAAGAAATTATATTTTTTTTCTGAGAAAGGGTATTTGAATTCATGGAAATTAAATGAATCAGTAGGCTGTGACATCCCTAGAAGCAAAGTGTTGGAGCTCTCAGGGATGGCTCAGCAGGCAAAGATCAGCTGCTGATGTCACCCCGTCACCCCGGCATTCTCCTAGGAGATATGTGTGTACCTGCACTTGTTGGTGAGGGGCCTGTCTTCTTGCCAGATTCTCTGGGAATCTGAGAGGCTTCCTGGCTCTCCCAGATTATCTCTCTGTGTCTCTGACACCTTCAAGCTTTCCAGGGAAAACAATTTTGCCAGAGTGCTGATGGTTTCAAATCCATTTCAAATCATTCTGGAGACTCCCAGCCACGTTGGATCAACAGGACGTGGTACTAAGGAGCATGGCTTCCCCATAGGACACCGAAGGCTCAGCTGACTCCCACCTTCGTACTTGTTACCTCTGCCCCAACCCTCAGGAAGATTCTGGACCACATGACATTTTCTCCTGGAAGCCTTTCCTGTCCTTTCCCATCTGCTGTCACCCTCCATTTCTGCCCTTTTCACAAATTGTTTGATTTATTTCCCTCTAGCACATGTCACTAGCTGCAAGTCAAATCTGTGAACCTGTTTGTGCGTCTGCTGCCACCAACTACTAGCTCCTTCCAGGGCTGAGGCCCAGGCCTGACCCAGAAGAAAAGCTCAGTCAGTGCTGAGGAGTGAACAGATAATTCCCGGCTCTAGCCAGGCCTCACCTCACTGTCCTCTAGCCAGTGGTTCTCAATCTTCCTAATGCCGCGACCGTTTAATACAGTTCTTCATGCCGTGAGGAATAATTTTATGGTTGGGGGCCACCACAACGTAAGGAACTGTATTAAAGGGCCGCGGCACTAGGAAGGTTGAGAACCACTGCTCTAATAGTGCCTTCCCACGCCCCGCCCCTGACCTCCTGGGCCGAGGCAGTGGGTACCTGTGCAGAGAGACTGGGATGGCTGGTGCCTACCCAGCAGGAGGGGCCATTTACAGCCTCAGATGGGCTCCAGGTGAGAGCTGGGCAGCTGCCTGCCTTCTCCTCTGCCCCTTTGGCCTGAACCGGAGGGTTGGGATTCCCCAGGGTCTTCCCAGGGCCCCGGCCATTATGCTGGCTGGACAAGCCCAGCCGCCTCCCTCCTCCAAACTACCTTCCCTTCCTCCAGGCCCCTTCCCCAGAGCCCCACCCCCACCCCCATAGGACAAGTGTGACCGCACAACTCACCACGCCCAGGTCCTCCAGCGCACAGGCCGCCCACGTTCCTAGCCCCACCCTTGCTGCTGCCCTAGGGAACGTGGGGAGGAGTCCTCGGAGGGCTGCGCTAAGGGTGCGGCCCTGCGGCCCCACCCAGTCCACCGGGACACGCCTCCACCCTCCACCCGGGCTGGCCCCCGCTTGGGACCTACATGCGGATCTTGGTGTTTTTCAAGCTGCGGCCCAGGTCTTCCAAGGTCTCCTCCATCTCCTGCGTGTTCTGGATCAGTGACAGGTTCTGCTCTTCTAGCTCCGTGAAGACGTCCAGGAGCTGCTGGGGCTCCGTGAAGTAGAGCTCCAGCTCCTGCAACCGAGCCCAGTCGGCGGGGCAGGCGGGAGCCGTACTCGGCCAGGGGCTGGGGGAGCTGGCAGTGCAGAGCCGAGCAAGTAGGGAGAGGGAAGGGCTGGGGGAAAGGGGAGGGGAGAGGGAGGACAGAGGAGGAGAAGGGAAGTGGGGGGCGGGGCGAAAAAGAAGAAGGGAAGGGGAGGAGGCGGGAAGAAGAGGGCCGGGGCAGAGGAGGAGGAGAGGTAGGGCAGAGGGGGGCTGGTTGGTGCGCGGGTGGGGACCATATGGGGCTTGGAGGCAAGGGAGGGGTCGGCTGTCGCAGCCCAGCCTTAAATCGGACCACTGACCTCCCCGTCGCTGTCGCTGTCCTCCTGCTGGGGAACGGGAGAGTTCGACCTGCGAAGAGACCGCCGCATCAGTGCTTAGGGACCGGCCTGGGCAGGCGGCAGCGGGGAGGGGCACAGAGGCGGCTCTGGCGAGTCTCTCCCCCACCCGTCTGGTCAGTCCTTTCTCTTGCCCACACGTTGCCCAGAGGGTGGCCCAAGCCTCCTCACGGCCCCCAGCTCTTGCACTGAAACCAGGTGGTAGTTTCAACATCCAGTAGGCTTATCTCACTCCAGCTGGCATAAAGCTTGGCTTCATGGCACCTGCCCACAGCTGTCCTGTCCCGCACCAGAGGTCACTCTGCTCCTGTCCTATCAGCACCTTTTGGCTCTTGTTCTCCAGGGGCTGACTCTACCTCACCACTCCCTTTGCCTTTGTGACTGCCCTCCCAATTCCTTTTTTGAGCGCTACTTTCCCCAGCTAGAGTCAGTCTTGATGGCCTCTCACAACTGTCAAAGACAGGAGGCCATTTCCAGCTGACCATAAGCACCTTAAACTCTTGAGCTCAACTAATCCTCATGCCTTGATGGCCCCTCACAACTGTCAAAGACAAGAGGCCATTTCCAGCTGACCCTAAACACCTGATAGGGCAAGGCCTTTCCTAGGCCTAACCACAGGGGTACAAAGAAAGCTTTGTGGGCTTTGCACACTCAATGTGGGGCCTTGGGAGGCCACACTGGATGGGGACTTCAGCTCCACCAATTTCGAAAACATTCATTTAGGCCCCTTCCAGCCTGCCCAGGATCTGCAGCTTCTGCTGGCTAAGGAGCAGGTGCCCCAGGGACCTGGGCTGGGGCCTTGGAGATGCCAGGCCCTGACGCCCCTTAAGTGGAGAGGCATAAGTACAAGCCCTGTGGGAGCTCCTGGGGGGACCCAGGAGGGCTTCCCAGAGGAGGGGGTGTGATGACAACTGAGGCACTCACCGGGTCTGTGCCTCACACTGACACCCTTTATAAATGAGGAATGCATAGCTCAGAGAGCCAGCGACCTCACCTGCAGGGCACTGCCAGTCCATAAGATGCTTTCCTAAGAATCTATGCTCCAGATGGACATAGCCTGGGCCAGGGTGCCTGGCCTGACGTTGCGGGATGGGCCCTTCCTGTCCTCCTGGCTGAGCATTTGGTGCAGCTCACAACCTGCCAAACCTTACTCAGCCGTGGTCAGCATGGCTAACAGGTAGAGGGGCCAGGACAGTTTGAGCCCAGACCTCTTGTCTCAGTAGCTCTCCCAGACAAGGGGCCTGCCTGGCTGGGTGCTCCAGGACTGAGGGCCAGCACTGCCTATCCTAGAAACTCTGTTCAACACTGAACTGAAGTGATATCCCTGACAGGGCAGCACAGGGATCAGTGTTAACAAGCAGTGTGTGCCTGGCCCTGCACCAGTGCCTGATGGGGGCTGGTCTCTTCCACAAGGCTCCAGGATGGAAGATGAGCTTGGACCCTGGAGAAGTTGGGTCCTTTTCCAACAGGAGAAGTATCAGTTTGGGACATGGGAGGTTGAGGGTAAAGACACCCATATAGCTGTGGAGCTTAAGAGCAAGCGAGGACCAGTCACAGGAGGGCCTCTAGCAGTTCTACAGAAGGGAAGATGGAGGATGGCGGGATGAGTGGCAGATACAGGCCTGCAAATGAGAGTGAGGTGCCACCAGGCAGAGAGAGGACAGAGTGACCCCTTTAGCCCCAGAGGCCTACTTCCCCTATCCCCCTCCCTCCCTCATTCAAGGTGATAAAGCTTCCACAAAAAAACACAGGAGAGCATTTCAGTGACTTTGAGGTTCCCAAAGATTTCTTAAGCAGAACACAAAACACACCAACTATAAAAGAAAAGATTAGCAAACTGGACTTCATTAAAATTAAGAATTCCTATTCTTATATAGGTGTGGTGGCTCACACCTGTAATCCCAGCACTCTGAGAGGCTTAGGTGGGTGGATTTCCTGACCTCAGGAGTTGGAGACCAGCCTGAGTAAGAGTGAGACCCCGTTGCTAAAAATAGCCGGGCGTTGTGTCAGGTGCCTATAGTCTTAGCTACTCAGGAGGCTGAGGGATGAGGATCGGTTGAGTCCAAGAGTTTGAGGTTGCTGTGAGCTATGACACCGCAGCACTCAACCCGAGGCCCACTGAGTGAGACTTTGTCTTTTTTTTTTTTTTTTTGAGACAGAGCCTCGAGCTGTCCCCCTGGGTAGAGTGCCGTGGCATTACAGCTCACAGCATCCTCCAACTCCTGGGCTCAAGCAAGTCTCCTGCCTCCGCCTCCCAAGTAGCTGGGACCACAGGCGCCCGCCACAACGCCCGGCTATTTTTTGGTTGCAGCCGTCATTGTTGTTTGGCGGGTCCGGGCTGGGGATTCGAACCCGCCACCTTAGGTGTACGTGGCTGGCGCCTTAGCCGGTTGAGCTATAGGCGCTGAGCCAAGACTCTGTCTTAAAAAAAAAATTCCTACTCTCTAAAAGACAATATTAAAGGCATAATAAGGCAAGGCACAGACTAGAAGATATTTGCACTACACTCACACAAAGGGCTAGTACCCAGAAAGAACTATACAAAGAACTAATAGGAAACCATAAGAAAAGGGTCAATAATCCAATAAAAATCAGATACTTCACAAAGGAGACTATCCAAATGGCCAATAAAGATGAAGTATGTTCCTATTTGTCATCAGGAAAATGCCATTAGAACCATACAAGACACTTCCCCCCTGTAGCACTTACACATGTCTTTGACTTTTTTGTATCTTGATGCTTTGACAGGGGGTGTGGTACTGGGGGGGTGCTGACCCTGGAGGGACTACCCTTCCTGGGGGCTAGACTCACCATGGAACACAGATGCTGGCTACTCCCATGACAGCCCATCCCCAGCTGCCTCCTCTATCCCTTTATTGGACACTCATCCGCAAGACCACTACACCCTGCCCTGATCCTCCCAGAGCCAGGACCAGACAACTGGGGGCAGCTCTGGACCCCAGAGACCTGAAGATGCGCAAACTAATGAACTATTTCAGCCTGCTTAACCCACCTGCTTTCCCTCTCTTGGAAACCACAGTGGAGGCTCCTGCCCATAGCCTGTCCCCTCTGCCTCCTCACCCACCTGCTGTCTCTCCTTAATATTTCTGCCTCATCATGTCTAGTGCCATCAGGGAGTGCTCCCTTCCAGGGCCTCATCCCTTCTAAGACCCCCCAAGGCAGGCCACTCACCCTCTCCTGCTGCTTGACTGGGAATTGATACTGAACAAGTCCGATCCCAGCTGTATCCCCTGTAGAGACTTTGAGGACCTCTTTTTGCCCTGGTTTTCTGGAAGAAGCAGGGGAGTATTTTCCAGGCACCCTAGTCTGGGGTGTGGGCCACCCTCCAAACTGGAGCAGTCACATACCTCTGGCCCCTGTGTGGGATATCTTGCCCTTAATCCCTGGTCCTACAGGAAGCAAAGGAAGGGTCCCAGATGACCTGAGGGGAACCAACCTTCAGGTGACACTGCTTGGGCTCCCCAGGACTCATCCAGTTGCCGCACCCCCAGGCCCAGGAGGAGAGAGGTGCTAGCAGCCCCTGAGGGTGAGGCTGGCCCTCTCCCCTAAGCAAATGCAGCCCCCCGACCCCCACAGAGCCCAGCAGGAGCTGTGAAGGTGTGAAGAAGCCACTTGTGGGCTAGAAGCCTGCATAGCCCCTGTGAGCTGGACTTGGGGTCTTGGTGGGCCACTGGCAGCGCTCACCGTGGGATCCTGCATCCTCTTTTCTGCTACTTTTGTCCTCAAGGAGGACAACACTGTTCTCTTTGGGGACCTCCACGACCCCCTTGGCCTTTTTGAGAGCCATGTATTTCTTCTCCTGTTGTTCAAGCCATTCCTTGGGTGACAACTTGTATAAGAAATCCTTATAGATCTTGTAATGGTGCAGAGTATCTTCAAATTTGGAGATCTCACTGTCCAGGGAGGGAAAGGTAGCAGTCAAGCCCTCCCCATGCCTGGTGGGCTCCTTGTTCTCCTGAACAGGCCGAGTGTGGGATAAAGGCACTACTTTGCAGGGACCAGAGTTGCAGCCCTTAGTGGTTCTCAAACTCCTCTCTGCCTTAGAGACTCTGCCTCTCTTGCAGTCTGGAGCCCAGAAGCCTCCAAGCCAAGCAGGCCTCCTCCCAGGGGTGTGGCCTTGGGAAAGTCTTGAATCTCTCTTGGCCTCAGTCTCCCAGTCCATGGGCAACAGCCTTCTGGGAGCTTGAAGTCCCAGAGAGGTATGCATGGTGCTAGGCTCTCTTTGGCTATGAGCTAACTCTGAGGGACAGGAACCAGGCCAGCCAAGGGCCAGCGCCCCTCTGACCCTACCTTTTGATATTCATGATCTGAGCGGTGAGGTCCTGGATCTCAATGATCTTCTCCACCTTGGCTTTGGTCTCCTTTTCAGCCCTGAAAGGGGTGGGGTTGGGGCAGTGGCTGGTCTGGACTGTTCAGGGGGAGCAAGCACAGCCCTCAGGCCCTGAGCTAGGTGAGACTGGGGCAGGTTTAGAGCTCCCTGTCAGGGTTTCTGCTGTCCCTCAACCCCTTGGGCTTGTGGTAGTCCCTGATCCTTCCAGGGAAGTCACAGAGGGTGGGCCAGGGTGTACACAGGCCCTGGGGACACTGGTGAGAGGCGAGCCGCCCTGGGCATGGGCTCACATCCGCAAGGCCTGCACAGAGCTGCGATCGTTCTCCCTGAGGAACTCATCGAACAAGACGGCATCCTTCTCCAGGGCCTTCTCTGCCTGCTCCAGCCTGGCCTCCTCCCTCTCTGTCAGTATCTCCAGCTGCTGCATCTCACTCCGCTTCACCTCCAGGGCATACTAGGGACCACCAGAGTGGGAGTCACTGGCCCTGCCAGCTCAGCAGGCACCCTCACACAGGAGGTGCTGGGCCTACCTGTAGGAGGAATAGCTGGCGCTGGCGTTTCAGGAAGCTGCCCATGTCCTCAGGCAACACCTTCTTTTCTGCAAGGAGAGGAGGCAGGTGAGTGGGAGGGAGAGGCCCAGGCCCAGCCCAGGACAGGGAGGGACTCTGTGAATCTGCAGAGGGGTCCTCCCAGGCTCTTGAGTGGTAATTACAGGACCCTGGAGGTAGTGCTGGTCCTCTGTCTCCACATTCTCTGTGCTGGAGTCACGCCAGGGGGAAGTGCTTGCTCTGTCTGACCTGGGCCTCTCTTGCTGTCACACCCTTCTCACTTGTAATGAGGCTCTGGAAATTCCAGCTGGTTTTCATGACAAGAGGGAGGCTCACCGCCTAGGCCTGGGCAGAGCACTGCCATCTCTACCGGGGTTGCTCAGCCCCACGCAGGGCCCAGTGTGGCAGCAGTGCAGTCCCCAATGCCAGGGTTTAAACAGGTGAGAGGAACCTGAGGTGGGCGTTGGGACAACCTTTAGGAGCTCAATCAGAGGGGTAGCAAGCTTGGGGCCAAGGGCCACGGGATGCTCTCCCTACCTCCCTAGCGAGGAACTTCATGGGTGCTTCCTGACTATGGAGCACTCAAATCCATGGGGCTTTCTGGCCTTGTCCCTCAAATCCTTTCCTTTCCAGAAAAGCCCTGGTGGGGTTGGTGCTTGAAGAATCCAGGTGCCTGGCACAGAGCCTGGCTTGGCCTCCCCAGAAGTCCTTGGGGATATCTCTGCCCCTCACAGAGGCCCAGCTCCTGATGGGGAGTCCAGGTCCCCAGGACAAGTCTCAGGCACAAGCCTGCTGGGCCTGCCTCTCCGGCCACCTGCCACTTCCCCATGTCTTGGGAATGGAAGATAGGCGTGGCAACAAAAAGTTGCCAAGCTGCCCCATGGTGCTGGGCTTGGCACACAAAGTGCATCAGCCAGTGCAGGTGGCAGAGGTGGAGGCTGAGGCCCTTTCATGTTCTACATTCACACTTAGTGCACCTGTGATCCCACAGCATCCCAGGATTCTCCCTACAGCTTCTTTCTGACTGTTATATTTATGATCTGGGGTGGCAGAATATTAATATATACTCAGGACTTAAGATTTCCTACTGAGTGATAAAGATAGCAGTTTGTACACTCACACTGCTCTTTCTTACTGTGTTCAGTGCATTAACACATCTAGTCCCACATCCATCGAGTTGGTACTGTTATCAGCCAAAAGATACTGGGTACTGAGTATTGAGGTGCCAAGCGTTAGGGCAACTCAGCTATGACCACAAAGCCATTAAATGCTGGAGCATGATCAGAACTGGGAAACCTAGCTGCAGATCCATGCTCTTTATCACAAAGTTAAATTGCCAATGTTTGTACATTGTACGGCCTGTATCCACTGTGTCTGTCAGTGATCAGAGCACCTGCAACACAGTGTCCCACCTTAGGGTCTTCCCTTCTCAGGGTACACAGCAAGGCCTCTGAGAGTGCCTGAAATCTCAGGCAGCACTGTACCCTATATACACTGTTTTTTCCTGTACATATGAACAGGAAAACCGAACCTATGATAGAGTTTAACTTGAGAATCAGGTAGGCTAAATTAACAACACCAATAAAATATAACAATATGCTGTAATAAAAGCTAGGTGAATGTGGTCTCTCTCTCCCTCTCTCCTTCTCTCCTTCTCTCCAGGTATCTCAAATACACTCACCTACTTTCACCTTGGGTAATTGAAACCAAGGAAAGCAGAGCCACCAACAAGGGGTATGAATGTACTGTGACTGGAAAGCTCTTAGATTTTCCTTGGTGACCATGGGAAGTTAAAGGTCACACAGGAAAGGCCACCCTTTCCCAAGCACTTGACAAGCACTTCTGATCTGTGCCAGGTGAATGGTATGGGGGTGGCAAGCGCTGAAGAAAACAGGGAGCTTCCCACATCTGTGGGTTTGGGGTATGACCACCCAAGGCCCCACCCATGTTGGCAGCTGTGGCAGTGCGGCACCTTTGGTCCAGGCGAGCTTCCAGGCATTGGCATCCCGCACGGCGTGCAGCTGCTGGTCCTGGTCCTTAACCTCTTCCACCTGCTGCAGCTCCTGCTGCAGGCTGGTGTGCTTGGCCCACCCCTTGGAGGAGTAGGTCGTCTTCTCGTGTGCATGCATCCTCTTCTTCTGCTCACGCTCCTGGGGGCATCAGGCCAGGTGGGTGCATGCTCCGCTCCTGCCCAGCCTACCCACCAGTCACCTGGTGATGCCTGTGCAGTGGGCTGCTCCTGGGGGACAGCCCCTGAGCAAGGCAGCCTGGGCTGGGCTTGGGACAGGACTCTCAGGGAAGCCATTGGCCTCTAGGAGCACCAGGCAGGCCCCAGGCCAAGTGCAGGATGCCCAGTCAGACGGGCTTCTGGACACAGCGTCGGACAGACCAAAAAGATGATTTATCATTTTATCTGAATTTCAACTTTAACTGAGTGAATGTATTTTGACAAACAGGTTCAGGGAAACTAGAACCTTCTTGAAACCCAGAGTTGGATGGAGCTCTGCTGTCTGTGTAGGCTGGTCTGAAGGTCACTGCTGGCCTGCCAGCCATACCTTTCCTCCACCTCCTGTGCTTGCATCAGGCCCCAGGCCTCCCTTGGGAGGACAGCCCAGGTTGGCATGAGGGAGGGGTATGGCCTCCCCTCCTCTGGGGCAGAGGGGCCTACACCATACACCTCCCCCACTGCTGTCCAGGTTCTGAAGACTCGGAGGGCCCTGCCAGCCCTGCACCTTCCTACCCCTCTGTATGGGCCCTGAGTGGATATCTCTGTATTTGGGCTCTCTGGCATCACTTCTGGTTCCTCCTGGGACCTTCCAGGCACAACATACATCTGAGATCTAAGAACCCTCCCTAAGGCAGCAAACGCTGCTCAAGGCAGGCATGTCCAGCCTGGAGCCACAAATGTGTACTTCCTATTGTAACAGGGGTAAGGAAATGTCACCTGCCAAATCTCAGTGGCAGGTCTGACTTTACAAGACACCGGGCAGCTGCTTGGGGTCAGCGGAGGTGGGGGGCACTGTGCTGGGATGGGGGAGGGCATGAGGTTCAGGATAGAGTCTTAGAGGAAGGTAGAGGCAGCCAGGAGTTAGGGCCGGGCTTGGGGAGAGGAAAGACTCATTCTCTTCTCATTGGAGAAGAAAGAGTAGGGTCTCTAAGGAGAGGGTCTGTGAGAGGTCTGCTGGTATGTTTGTAGCAATTTTCTACCACCAGGCTCTGCAAAGAGTGGGTTTCTCAGTCTGGCTTTGGGCGAAGGCACTTCCCTGGGCCAAGTGGGTCGCAGTGTCCCAGGAGGGCTGGGAAAGGAGGGTTTGGGGCCTACATCAGAGTCTCTGATTTGGATCCTGGAGTGGGGTTGGAGAAAATGCATTTCCATCCATGCCCAGCTGATGCCATGTGACTGGCCTGGACTGCCCTATAGAATCTCAGAATGCTGAGCCCCAAGTCAAGGTGGCACAGAGGCAGTTGGTGGGCTCCAGATGGGGACTGTAAAGGCTGGCTATGGCTGCACACCCATGAGTGGGAGTGAACACATGAATATGCTTGCTCAGGCCGGCTGGCTGGGGGGGTGGGCTATCCTCCCCTCTGGGCATGCAGGGTGGGAAAGCTAGAGGGACAGGCTAGGGCGTAGACAAGGCAGAGGCAAGGAGTCCGGGCTGGCCCTGGGCCTGCTGAGTAGCGTGTGTGTGCCCTGTGTGCCACTCTGTGTGTCTGACTCCAGGATTCTGACAAGAGGAGGCCACCTAGGGCAGGAGCAGGAAGGGTGGTTCTTTGGGGTGGGTAGAGAGGGCCTAGGAGGCCTGAGATAGGCCTTGAAAACCAAGGTATGTGTAGGGAAGGGGTGGCATTTTGTGCAAGGGCAGTGGAAGTGGTGGTGTGATGGCTGAGGCTGTAGCCGAGCCATCCTGAGGAGTTTAACTGCCCAAGGACCAGGCACAGTGGTGAGGGACTGGGCAGGATGGGAAAGGTGTGGCATCTGAGAGCAAGGTGGGGTTTCCAGCTGATCTTATAGGAAGGGGTGAGCCATTGTCTATTCTGTAGTGAGTGAGCTGAGGATAGTGCCTCTTCTGCAAAGGGACATGTGACAGCTGAGAGAGGGAAGCTGTGTGCAGGGCCAGGCTCTGTCCTGGGTACTCACTTGAATAGCCCTGTTCCGCTCCTGGTCTCTGAGCAAGAAGAAATCCTCGACCCCAGACAGGTGGAAAGGATTAAGTTCAAGGTCAGGAGTGATCTCAGGCTCTGGAAGGGAGATACCTCGTTGGAGAGAGGGGCCAGCTCTGCCAAGCAGTGGTCTGTGCCATGGCTCCGGGTGGACTCCCGGCCCAGCAGGTGACCTCATGAGCAAAGTGACAACACTTTCCTGGATCCAGCCATGCCTAAAGTCCAGCCTTAGACCTTCCAGCCCTTTTTTTGTTTGTTTGTGTTTTTTGAGACAGTCTCACTTTGTCTCCCTCAGTAGAGTGCTGTGACATCATAGCTCACAGCAACCTCAAACTCTTGGGCTCAAGCGATTCTCTTATCTCAGCCTGCCAAGTAGCTGGGACTACAGGAGCCCACTACAATGCCCAGCTATTTTTAGAGACAAGGTCTTGCTCTGGCTCAGACCGGTCTCGAACTGGTGAACACAGGCAATCTACCAGCCTCAGCCTCCCAAGTGCTGGGATTACAAGGGTAAGCCACCATGCCTGGCGACCTTCCAGCTCTGTAGAGCTGTTTTATGGGATTTGAGTTGGGCTTCTGTTTCTGGCATCTGTAAGAGACGTCATGAACAAAGTCCTTCCTGTCCTCTTCACTTAATGTCTCATGAAACCACACTCAGTGATGAGGGAAGCCAGACCTACTGTTTGTATGTGATGAACTGGTGGCCTGGATCTGTGACACTGAGCTCAGACACTTGTCATGCCTGTTGTTGTGAACAGTGGACAGACACTCTTGGTGAGCTTGCATTTATTTTTTCAGGAGTCTCCAAGTCTCCTGGGGAGGCCTAAGGACAAAGTGCCTGAGGCCAGCGAGGCTGGTAGGAATCTGGGAGGGACCAGAGGCTGGGAGGGGCTTGTGCAGTTTTCTTTACAGGGCAGACTCTTGTCCTGCTCCTTACCTACATAAAGGTCTTATACGTGCTGACTTTGAGATTGCAGAACTGGCCCAAGGGCCTCTCTGTGACCTCAGGAGGCCAGGAAGTCAGGTGGAGGGTGAACTGAGCACGCGGCTCACCCCACCACCACACCACCCCCACGCCCAGAAATGTCATAAAAAGAATTTTAAAATCCAGTATAGACCTGGAGAGCAAGAAGGGTGAATCTGAGGCAGCAGAGGTTGTTAGGGAGCTCAGGTGGGAGAAGGTAAGTGGGTGTTGCCTACCATAGAAGTTGGGCGGGGGCAGCAGAGACACAGATGTGAACAGAGCAGCAAGGCCCCCTCACTTCCTTGCTGGCACTAGCTTGCTCTCCTTACTCCCGGACAGCCCAGGGAGGAGGCAGATGCCCTGATTTCAGAGTCCTGGGAACTGATGCTTGGGGCCAGGGGCCAGGGAAGTAAGAGTCTTTATGACCCCAAACTGGCCTCAAGCACACATGGGCTGCCCGTCCCTTGTCTCCGTCACAAAACCAAGCTGGAACCTATCATGGGCCAGACCAGATACTTTTTATGATTTAATTTTCATAACTACTCTAGGAGGTAGGAATTACTGGAGCCCCCATTTTACCAGCATGGAAATCAAGAAATAAAGCAGTAAGAAATTCTCCTAAGGTTCCCTAACTATAAGTAGATTAGGGGAGACAGCCTTCAGAAAACAGAAATTGGGCAGGGTATGGTGGCTCACATCAATAATCCAAAATGTTGGGAAGCTGAAGCAGAAGGATCACTTGAACCAAGGAGCTTGAAACCAGCCCAATCAACATAGTGAGATCCCATCTTTCCAAAAAGAAAACAGAAGTTGCATTTGCAGTGAAGTGGCTAAGGAATGGTTAATATTGATATGATGATTATCAATGTGCTAAGGTCAAGATGAAGCCACAAGCACAAATGGAGAAAATCACCCCCTAAATGCAAAGGTAGTCAAACATTTATAAGCAGTCAATGTAGTATGGCCACTAACAGAATGAGAGGGAAAAGTACATGATCATTCCAACAGATGCAATAAAAATATTTGATAAAATTCAAAGTTTAAGCTTGGCACTTATAGCTCAGCAGCTAGGGCACCAGCCACATACATCGGAGGTGGCAGGTTTGAATCTAACCCAGGCCTACCAAACAACAATGACAACTACAACCAAAAAGTAGCCAGGCGTTGTGGTGGGTGCCTGGGGAGAATAGCAAGAAAATAGCTTAAGCCCAAGAGCTGGAGGTTGCTGTGAGCTGTGATGCCTCAGCACTCTGCAGAGGGCAACATAGTGAGACTGTCTCAAAAAAAAAAAAATTCAAAGTTTAATTTTGAATAAAACTCTTAGCAACCTAGGAATGCAAAAGAACCTTCCAATCTGATAAAAAAAATTATTGTGATTGACTGAGTACTGGCCCCCAAGACACCCTAACCCCCAGACTGGTGACTATGTCACTTTGTAAGGTGAAGGGACCCTTGCAGATGTGATAAGCTAAGGATCCTAAGAGAGGGAGACTGTCATTGGCAAATCCAGAAGGGTCCTTGTAGGAGGGAGAGGAGGATCAGAAGCCACAAGAGCTGTGAGGACAGAGCAGGGGCTGGAGTGATGTGACACAACTGGGAGCATGCTGCACTGCTGGCTTCAAGGTGCAAGAGGCTGGAGAGGCCCAGGAGACAGGTCCAGCGCTGACCACACCTTGCCTGCAGTCAGACCTCTGACTCACAGAAGTGTACAGTGACATATCTGTGTGGTTTTAAGCCATTGACTTTGTGGTATTTTGTTATGGCAGCAATAGGGAATGAATGCAGGTGTCTACAAGAACCCTGCAGGAGAGTGCTGGCCATCCCCCAAGGAACAGGTCAGGAGCAAGGGAAGGCTTTCCTGCTCTGAATGGGCAAAGAAAGGAACAAAAGAGATTAGGAGCACAAAGGAGGGCATAATATTGTCATTCAAAGTAACATGTAGAAATCCTCAAAGAATCTACAAATGAAATGGTTACAATGGGGTAAATAGAGGTGATCTGTAGATCTTTCTGAGAAATTAAAACAAAACTTGATATGGTAAAAAGACATCTTTATGACCTTGGGGGTCAGCAAAGAGTTTTAAAACAAGACACAAAAAGCAATAACTATAAGGAAATGACTGAACTGCGTAACACTGAACTACATTAAAATTAGGAACCTTTCACTTAAAAGGCACTGCTCAGAAAGTGAAAGGCAGTCCAAGGAGTGGGAGAAGGTACTTGCCATGCTTAGAACTGGCAAGAAGAGTTTCCAGAAATCATTAAAATAAAAAGCCTGACAGAAAAGTGGGCAGAAGACAGCAGCAGGCAATTCCTCGCAGAGTCATCAGATGGTGACTTGGAAAGGTAGCCACCCTCCATGGTCACAGGGACTATGAGATGCTGACATGAGTGGGAGACTAAGCAATATTAAAGAACTATGTTGGAGAGGGGCAACTAGAACTCTCATACCTGTTAGTGGGATCTAATCTCTCTGGAAAACTGTTCATTTATTCACTAAAGTGAAACACACAGCCTGCAATTCCACTCCTGTGTGTACAACCAGGAGAAATGAGTGCTATACCCCCAAAATGACATGTACAAGGCTTCTCACAGCAGTAATATTTCCAATAGCTAAAAATTGGAAACAATGCAAATGTTCATTATCTATAGAAAGAATAAATAAATGGTCAGCACATGCACACAATAGAACATACAGTACAGAAGGGCCGCTGGCCAGGGGCAACAAGGTGGAGGCCTCTCAAGACAGAATGTGGAAAGTAGCCAGAACTAACAGAGCAGAGGGCATACAGCTCCATCTGTGGGAGTTTCTAGAAAACACCCAGGGTTTCAGGAGCCATAACAGAGGAACAACTGTCTTCTGGGAGATGGAAATGGTCTAGACCAGAGGTGTCCAGCCTTTCAGTTTCTTTGGGCCGCATTGGAAGAAGAGTTGTCTTGGGCCACACATTAAATACACAAACACTAACAAAAACTGATGAGCAAAAAAAAAAAGTCTGTGCATCATTTTTGTGATATCTGCCATCACAGATAAGCAAAACCGTCCTCACATAATAATCCCAATTAGGCAGCAGCTGGTTCAGAGAGTCTTTTAAAATTGTTGAGCAGGTCCCAAGTTTGTGATTACTAATATATAAAATGTACATATCTAAATAATAAAATGTCTTTCTTGATATTTTTTATTGTTAAAAGAAAAGTGGGCAACATAAAACTAGTGGGATATTTGACATTGTATTTGAGAAACTAATGCATCAATATCTGGTTTTGGTGGAAGTGGTCGGAATTCTCAGTGAGTTCTCATGGTGCTCAGCAGGTATTTTGGTTTGAAGTTTACTTTTAATGTGCTTCATTCTTGCAATAGTTGCTTGCAAGTGTAGGTGCTGTCAAAAAGCAATGACATGAATAAGGCAAGATGGTGAAGCAAGGGATATTTGTCTCTGGGAAGACAGGACCGATAACAGTCCAGTAAAGAGACATGATCCACTTTTTCTCTAAATTGGATGTCAGATTTCAGCTTTGTGCATTCCATGTGAAAATTAGCAGGTGACGTACTTATGTCAACTGAAAATGGAGTTGCAAATGCACCAACATATTATTTTCCTGGAAATCTTAAAGTCTATTTTCAAATACTTGTATCAAATTGAAAAGCCAGGCTGCGTATTTTTCACTATTCCCGAGACTGTGTTTAGCTGATAAGTTGAAATGCTTAAAATTGTCTGCCTTAGACTCAGCACCTATAGCATAGTGGTTATGGCACTGGCCACATGCACCAAGGCTGGCGGGTTCGAACCCAGCCCAGGCAGCTAAACAACAATGATGACAACTGCAACAAAAAATAGCTGGGTCAGCTTGGCACCTGTGGCTCAAGCGGCTAAGGTGCCAGCCACATACAACTAAGGTGGCGGGTTCGAATCCCCAGCCTGGGCCCGCCAAACAACAATGATGGCTGCAACCAAAAAAATGGCCAGG